GTCACAGGCCTTGTATGTGCATTTATGAGTGTGTGTGTGTGTGTGTGTGTATCGTTGCAGAAGAGCCTGCAAGTCACGCATGAGCGTGTCCGGCCGGATTGTGCGCCGGCAAAGAGGAGGGGAAGCGTCCGGAAAGGGTTTGTGGTGTGAGGGAGAGATGTGGGGAAGGGGCTGACTGGTGCGGGAGACTGGGAGAATTGGCCGCCACCGAGACTGGCCTCGTTTCCTCAGCCGCACCGGTAGCCCCACCTCGTGACCTGTGTGGGCCCAAAATCACACCTGCCCTGTGGCCTGTTCCGGCTCATGTAAAGATTTATATCAGAGCACACTTTAGCCCACCTTTGTTGGGGGAATGAGGCAAAATGGGATAAAAATTGGTCTATTGGGCGTGATAAATAACCCAGTTTCGCATCCGTTTCTTGCCTGTCACAGGCTCTTTTCCCCTTCCCTCTCCTGCACACAAACGCACGCACACACACACACACACACACATTCACATACACATACTCATACAAACACACCCAACTGATCGGCTCTCTTCTCTGCGGAGGCCTTGACAAATACCTTGAAGCTATGAACTGACCGTCTGGTGCCGATTCATGCAATCCTACCCATCCTCCCTCCCCCTCTATGGGGAGACTCACGCAAAGGCACACACATACAAGCATGCACACAATGGAGCTCATCCATGTCCCCTTATCAATATGCATACTTCAAAGTTCCCAGGTCAGGCAAGTGTATTTTTGTAGCTTTTGCGCTGCATCGTGTCGTCTGGCCAACCGCGTACTCGATTGGCCGGTGAGGAGGGGGTGTGAAGGGAGGGGAGGGAGGGGAGGGAGGCGGGCAAAAAGCGGTTGCGAGACAAAATGAAGATGGGCATTTGGAGTTTTGAGGTGGAGAAAGAAGCGGCCGAAGCGTGATCTCGTGAGGGCACCGTGAGCAAATTGCTGCTTCTCCATTTGTCTCTCTTCTCTTTCCCACTTGTCACTTGATCACCTTGTCGCCCTTGCCTCGACATCTTCATACCACTTTCTCCCGCCAGAAGAGATCATTACCGGCGCT